TCTTATACATTCTGGGACTTGTGCACATGAGAGAGAGGTGGGGGATAGAGGGAAAAAATAGAGAGGGATAGAGGGAAAGTGACAAAGACAGGGAAATAGAGAGGCAAGTGAAGAGGGGAGATAGAGAGATAAAGCAGAGAAATTGATCCGTGTCTCAAAGTGGCTTGTCCAAATGTTCATTCATTATGTCTTTATCAATAATTGTGATTGACAATGATGCAAATGGACAGGGATAAGTCAGTTCATGTCTTTACTAAAGTCAACAGCAACAGATTCAGGTAGATGCAAAAAAAAAAGAAAAAAAATGAAAAAAAGATTTACCATCAAGCCCCCATTGAAAGCCCCATTTGTTATGAGATCACCAAAGTTAAACAAAGCTGAATTTGATTAATCTTTTGACGGGTGACTGATTAGGAAGAGGCAACAAGTAGCCTTGGGTCAACCTAAGTAAAGATTAGTCAGTAATTAGACAAGAGAGGATTTCCTTCAAATAAAAAAAAAAATAAATAAATAAAAAAAAATGGAAGATAAAATTGATAGATGCTTTTTTTTTTTTTTTTTTTATTCTCTGGGGAACTGATTTCTAAAAATATTTGGAGACATGGGATATGCTGGGAAACTTGATAGATTCATTTGTTTAAATTCCTTGAATTTTTCACCTTCACCTCATGCATAAAAAAAATCTAAATGTTTGTCAACTTCAGCCCAGGGGAAGTTTTATATTTATATACCATCACTAACACTGCAAGTGACCAAATAGTTACAGTAACTAATTTTATTGAATCCTAAAAAAAAAAAAAAAAAAAAAAAAAAAATATGGGAAAAAAAAAAAAAAAAAAAAAAAAAAAAAGACTGAGGAAAGAAAAAAAAAATTTCATCACCAGTATTTTAAAGCCTTAGTGTCTTTGGGGGATTACCAATAATTTCCAAAAAGTATAATCTTGATGACCAGCCAACATCAACCATTATATTTTTTGCCCAAGAAACAATGTTGTTATAATCTATATTTTTTCTTCCTCATCCTCAATTGACATTTAATAACAATAACAAAAAATATTGCCATATTTGGGTATTTGTATAGATATTAAACAGCATCAAGAGTTGAAAAATTGTAAATTATTTTCATTAACATGACAGCTTCCTTTCCTTCTTACTGTATATGCAGAACTGGTGCATATTACCCCAGGTGGTGCTTGTGACTTACTATCTAATCAACATTTGCTTCTTTTTTTACCTACATTTATATATGTTACAAATTAAACTAAACACAATTAAAAGATGAAAAATTTTCCTGATTTTGATGTTATTTTGTTTTGTTTTTTTTGTCCAAATTTGTGAATTTGTTTTGTTTATGCAAAGTCTTGAAAAACAATGTATAAAATAAAATTCATTATTCCTTTTTTATCTATAATGTTGAAGGTGTTAAAATTATTCAACTTAAAAACTGTCGCAAAGCATTGTTTATTTAAGATAGAATGATCTGTTATGACATGTCACGAATTTGTATTTAGATACACTGTGTTTTGTTTTTTTTTTGTTCACCTACATTGCATATGATCCATTATTGTACACAATTAGGTTACAATAAAATTTGTCATTTATATGAATACTACCATATGAAAATTGAGATGAAGTAGAGTGGGGGCCCCCATATAGATTCTGAAGGGACTGTATCATAGATACAAGACTCAAGGCCTTTGCACCATCCCTGGGTATAAGAACAATTTTTTTTTTTTTTTTTTACAGAATGTATTTAAGCACAAATCCTGATTTTTATAAGATGCTTCTAAATTATTTTAAGGTATTTTCTGTAGGTTTATAAATTTTATTTACATCCTTGTTTTTATTGCTACGTTATACCCTTTAGCCTACATCTTTCATCTGGGTAACCCTCAGGGAATTCAAAGTGAAGCCTTGAATTTATGCTTGTTCTTGTTCCACTGCACATGTCTAAGGTTATATTTTGTCTTGTTCTTCTTTAGTACTGATCAGTTATTTGCTCTGTCCATGTACATCCTGCCCTGGCTTATGGATTGAATTTACAATTACTAAGTCACCAAATTCAGGAACCAACTTTAATCCACTAGGTTATTATCCCATGGGACAATCCTGAGTATAGAACTTGAAGCCTAACCTGCCTGCTGATGAATTCTGCAGCTTATGCTTGAATGAACTCACCAAGGTTTCTCTTTTTTTTCTACTAGCCTGTTCTCTTTCTCTGTTTTTTTCATTTCTTTCTTTACTAACCATTCCCATATTGTATTTATTTCTATGCTAGGCCTACTAAGGTGGTCCTTATAATTTTAATTTTTTTATTCTTCATTTTATGGAAATTTTTCTTTTTGGTATAACCTTGAAATATCTGATGTCCAAAAATTATAAAAAAAAAAAACAGCACAAGAATCAATAATTTTTTTACTAATAAAAGTTAATATTTTATAGCTATCTTTTGCCTTCAAAACTTGAACGACACAATCTGACCTTGAGTTTGGTAATTTAGAAAGCTGAGAAGGAGGTTTTTTTTTTTCACTGCATCCATAATATGTTTTGGCTCCTCATGAATGAGATATTACACATTGATAGTATATGGGGTATATCGTCAGTGGTAATACCTTTGCAGTGAGACAGTCAACCCTGCTTTACTCAGATGAATTGGGATAGGGAACTGTACTGATTCAATGTCTAAATCCAACTCTCACACATGGCTCCAAAAAGTCACATAAAGCCACACCCTGGTCAATGGTATCAACCTGCCAGCTAAAATGTGTGAGAGTCGTCAGAAGGTTTTCCAGACCTGGCCAGTGACAGAGAACACCTCTCCCAACCCAGTTGCCAGTCTGGGCATGTGACCTGCACCTCAGTGATCAAATTCCATCATTTTGGCTTTACCTGCGGAAGGAGGACCTTCTGAGTGGAGGGATGAGGTAACCTCAACATCCCAGTGCAAAAGAAACCAGCAAGCCATTGCACCATAAACTACAGGGGAGTGGTGATCACAGTAGTGCAAAATACGCTAACTGAATAAATGATGATGAGTGTACAGATTTGAATCCAGCATTTCTGGAGACAAGATAAACCATTTCATTACAGATGAGAAGTACGAGGCAGTTGTCTAAAGAATAGAAACTGCACTGTGTTGCTGATAAAAAAAAAAAAAAAAAATTAAAACTTTTTCCTTTCACTTTTATTGGTAGCTTTGGATTGAGCTGTGATTGCATATCTCTTGGTACCTGAACAATAACTGGACAGTGCAGCTTACAGTCAGGAAAGTAACATTAGACCAGAAATATTTCATCACTAAACCTACAAGCAACCCTTTTCACTGTTTTTCATAGAAAGAGACAAAGAGGAAAAGAGACAAAGAGGAAAAGAGACAAAGAGGAAAAAGAGAAAAAAGACAAAGAGGAAAAAAGACAAAGAGGAAAAGAGACAAAGAGGAAAAGAGACAAAGAGGAAAAGAGACAAAGAGGAAAAGAGACAAAGAGGAAAAGAGACAAAGAGGAAAAGAGACAAAGAGGAAAAGAGACAAAGAGGAAAAGAGACAAAGAGGAAAAGAGACAAAGAGGAAAAGAGACAAAGAGGAAAAGAGACAAAGAGGAAAAAATAAAAAACAGTAAAGCCACAAATGGCAACAGGATGTGCAAGAAATAGGAACAGAAACATTAATAATGAGTGCAAAGAGAATCAGGAAGACAATAAATAGGGATTGACATTGCATTTAAATTTTTGGAGATTAAAGTTGGCTGGAAAGCATGGAGCCAGACGGGAGTTCCATAAGCGAGAAGTACGAGAAAAGAAACCGTTAGCCTAGGACTTATGGCTACACACCTAGCCAGCTTAACTGTAAATTGATGAGATCTCAATGCCAGTCTAGGAATGGCACCTAAATTCAAAAAGTTTAAAAAAAAAAAAACACAGTATTTGTACCTGTCAGTATTGAAGTGCTTTTCATCCGTGCAGATCACATTCTGCAGGTCAGAAGGCACATTGAGAATCATATTTGCCCATCATCATCTGACTTCTTTGTGGTGCTTATATGAACAATTAGCTCATATCTGTACTATATGAGACCTACTGGCCAATATATTGGGAAAGGAAGATTTTGATATTTACTGAACTTCATAATTGTTTGTGCAATTTTTTAAAGGCTTTTTATGCATTTTTTTTTTATAGCAACATATACAATTTGCTGTTTAATATGCTCAGAAACCTTTTGTTTTGCCAATTTCTTTAAGTGCTTCAACATAAGCATCAGGAAAAAGTGATAAACCAAAATTTTCCTGAATTTTGGAGATATCTTTGTAACATCTGGAGGGATCTTCCCGGAACCTTCCTGACATTTTTCAAGAACTGTTTTGGTACCTCTTCCATATTAGAATTACAGAAAAGCTTCAAATTCATAATTATTTTTTTTTTTTTATCATGCAGGTCATGGTGTAATGAGCTTTAATTACAAAATTGAGTTCATTCACATGCGTATCATACAATCATCCAAACACCAAATCTACAAGAAATCGGTCATTTTCTTAAGGTTCTATTTCTAGACAAAGCATATGACATATGATTCATTGTCACATTTTATGATGAGTTACTTTTGTCAGGTGGTAAGTGAATCCCAAAACATCCTTGATTATTCTTATTTTTTCAGAGTCTTTTTGAAGAAGTAATTTTACCATACTGTTTCAACGGAAGGATTGTGGCAACATGGTAAGAAAAAGGGGGTGAGGAAAGGGATTGCAGAAATGTAGTTTCTAGTTTAATTAAGCAGCAAATGATAATTACCTTTGAAAGACTCTGTTAGAATCAAATAAACAAGCTTTGAAATAAGAGTACCTTCTAACATGGGGTAGAGGGTGGATAGGGAATGCTCAACCCTGAAATTTTGGTCATAGAGACGGGAGAAATTTATAGAAAAGTGAGATAAGAGAAAAGAGATTCAGTTCTCAGGGAAATAAAAAGGATATTTTTTAGTAATATTTGTTTTGTATTAAGATTTGTTGCTAAAGCAGAAAAACAAGTTCTATGAATATGAGGAAAGAGAGGGAGAGAGAGAGGGAGAGAGAGGGAGAGAGGGAGAGAGAGGGAGAGGGGGGGAGAGAGAGAGGGAAGAGGGAGAGAGAGAGGGAAGAGGGAGAGAGAGAGGGAAGAGGGAGAGAGAGAGAGAGAGAGAGGGAAGAGGGAGAGAGAGAGAGGGAGGGAGAGAGAGAGGGAAGAGGGAGAGAGAGGGAAGAGGGAGAGAGAGGGAAGAGGGAGAGAGAGAGAGGGAAGAGGGAGAGAGAGAGGGAAGAGGGAGAGAGAGAGAGAAGAGGGAGAGAGAGGGAAGAGGGAAGAGAGAGAGGGAGAGGGAGAGGAAAGAGAGAGAGAGAAGGAAAGAGAGAGAGAAAAGAGGGAGAGAGAGAGAGAAAGAGAGGAGAGAGAGAGAGAGAGAGAAAGAGAGAGAGAGAGAGAGAGAGAGAAAGAGAGAGAGAGAGAGAGAAAGAGAGAGAGAGAGAAAAAAAAGTAAGAAAGGGAGAAAAAAAGTAAGAAAGGGAGAAAAAAAAGTAAGAAAGGGAGAAAAAAAAGTAAGAAAGGGAGAAAAAAAAGTAAGAAAGGGAGAAAAAAGTAAGAAAGGGAGAAAAAAGTAAGAAAGGAGAAAAAAAAAGTAAGAAAAAAGAGGGAGAGAGAAAAAAAGTAAGAAAGGGAGGAGAGAAAAAAAAAAAAGAAAGGGAGGAGAGAAAAAAAAAGTAAGAAAGGGAGGGAGAGAGAAAAAAAGTAAGAAAGGGAGGGAGAGAGAAAAAAAGTAAGAAAGGGAGGGAGAGAGAAAAAAAGTAAGAAAGGGAGGGAGAGAGAAAAAAAGTAAGAAAGAGATAACAGGCTAAATTGTGATGTTGAATATAGAGGGAAGGAGCAAAAGAGAGTTTATAATCCCTCTTTGGAAATAAAAGGAAGAGCCTCCCAGAGATTAAGATAAGAATTGGTCTATGCCAGGGAATACTTAGGTTTTTCTTGAAATCCCCAGAGAAATTCAATCTTTTCACAGATAGGAGCATCTTGATGAACTGCTTGGCATAGAGTTGATCAAATTTGTACCAGTCACCCATCCCCGTTCCTAAAATAAAAAGTAGGTCTCCCTCTTCCATTTTGCCTCTTCAAGGGCCAAACTGGGTCCCTCACCTCATTTTTAGACTGATGCTATCTTTTAATGAGGACTCAGGAGTCAGTAAAGGTGTTTGGATTGGGGACTGAAGAAGGATAATGAGAAAGATAGAATTCAATATTTCATGTTATCACTCCAATTTGAATCACAAATTGCTAGAAGGTTTAAATATACACTCTTAAATCTGACATATCCCTTCAAGACACAACCGATCATAGCTCTTCACAACTTCCTATCTAGTAGCTCTTAGTAGTTATTCTGTCTTTGCTAAGGCTCCCATTGCCTGTTTTGCCATCTATTCACACAAACTTCTTAGTTAATTGGCATGCCACATTCCCCTATCTCTCCTGTCCTCAATATGCCCTGTGAGGGTTAAGTTTTCCAAGCCCTCTTTCCTCATGTATCCAAGGAATTTCAGCTTTCTTTTCCTGATTCTGAGTAGAAGTGTTCTTTCTGTTGCCATTTTAAGACTTGCCCTCAATATGCCCTTTTTGAGGGTTAAGTTTTCAAGCCCTTCTTCCTCATTATGTGTCCAAGGAATTTCAGCTTTCTTTTCCTGATTCTGAGTAGAAGTGTTCTTTCTGTTGCCATTTTAAGACTTGCCCTCAATATGCCCTTTTGAGGGTTAAGTTTTCCAAGCCCTTCTTCCTCATTATGTGTCCAAGGAATTTCAGCTATCTTTTCCTGATTCTTAGTAGAAGTGTTCTTTCTGTTGCCATTTTAAGACTTGCCCTCAATATGCCCTGTGAGTCTTAAGTTTTCCAAGCCCTCTTTGCTCATTATGTATCCAACTGTCTTTTTCTGATTTTGAGTAGAAGTGTTCTTTCTGTTGCCATTTTCTTTAAGACTTCCTTGTTGCTTATTCACTCCATCCATGGAATTCTCAGTATCCTTCTGTAGGACCACATTTTTGCTGCCTCTAGTTTTTTCCTCATCCTTAGAGAAATTGTCCAGCATTCACCACCAGATAAGAGGATGGATATCGTATAGCAATCCGGAACTCTTTTCTTTGTGTCTAACAAAATTTTTCTGTTTCTCAACACCTTGCTTAATTGGGGTGCTTCTGCTAGGGATGTCAGTTTCCACCAAAGAAAAAAAAAAAAAAATTGAACTTTGACCTTTACTATAGAGTTTTCTGAGTGCACATGATTGACAAAAATTAGATATTTTAAATTTAAATTTCCATTTGACAAAAAAAAAAAAAAAAAAAAAAAAATAAATGGGGATTAATTTGAAAGATATCTGAATTATGGATATCCCTGTTCTTTCTTTATGACCCTTTATGTGATTTTGGGTCTTTTTTCCAACATTTGATCTGTAATGTATTCTCTTTTGTCTTGTAGGTTAGGTGTTTAGGTGTTTCCAATTTGGTTTTTTGCGATCTTTATAAATGAGTAATTGTTTTGCTGATGAATTTTTGAATTAAACTGATTAGTTATTCATATAAAGCCAATTTCTGCACTGAAAGTGGTAACCACCTTAGCATTTAAATCACAGCTTGAGGGTAAAAGGAAGTAAGCAATACTGACTTTTTATTAAACATTTAAAATTTAGCTAATATCTTTTATATTATTAAAGCGACTAACAAAATGCTTAAAACTATCAAACTAATTAGGGCAGTTTTAGTGATATTATTTTAGAGAATATATTATTTATTACATATTATTTTATAGTATATTCAAAGCTGCAACCAAACAAATGAACCATCCTGGGTATGACTATAAACTACATCTGCGTCCTGGGTAAGACGATAAACTACATCCAACAGGAAGGCCTCTGATCAGAAGGTTTCGAGGAGCATGGAAACACCTCTTAATTGCTAGTGTTCTCAGGTCCACCCTGACCTGGGGTTGTAGCACCTGTTAGGGTCCTAGCTATGGGCAAATAGTTAACCTCCAAACTGAGGTCAAAACACAATGAAAATGTAAAAATAGTTTTAATACCAGAAATGCTTTGTAAAAAAAAATATTACCAGCTATACATTATTTTTGTAGGAAAAAATATTACCAGCATAAAATTTGTTGGCATTAAATAACCCATTGTGGTCGATATGCCATAAACCAAACCAAACAAATGAGAGAGATGACCTGGGCAATGCTGGGTATCATTGCTAGTAAATATTCACTCACATGATTCTCTTAGAGAGAAAGAGATATTACAAGTAGAAGACAATACACTAACAAGATTGCTGTGAAAATGGTTTTGAGAAACACTTGCTTGTTTGGCCCTCTGAAAAAGCAAACAAAAAAAAACAACAACCTGTTTTTCTCTCTTATCTTCTTCAACTGGACACTTGAGACTTCTTCTAAAGTGATATCATTTTGAAGAATTAACTCAACCTCTTTCTCTCTAAGAGAGAGGGAGAGATGCCATCAGACTCATTTTGAATTTCAACATGTGCCCAGCACATGCCTAATAGAAAACAGGAGTGACTCCCATAAACAGATTGAAAAATGCAGGATAACTTATACGCATGCATATATTTTGCTTAACTATTAGAAGTAAAAATACAAAACCATACACTGTTTTCAAACAATTTCGGAAGCTGTTTTCTAGTAGGGATGATGGTGTGAGTGGAGGTGCAATGTTTTTCCAAGACCCTGTGTTGTTTGAAGAAGAAATGCTTATCCAAGAATTAAATTTAGTTGATGCCAACACAAGTTATTTTTTTTAAATCTTGCACTTTCTAAACTTTTTTTTTTTTTAAATGTGGAAAACAAAATTTGAATTTAAAAAAAAAAAAAAAAAAAATTTTCCTTAAAAGTTGAAAGTATATCTATATTTCTGAGATGAGATATTGTAACTATTTACATTGTTCTCAATTTTGTCCTATTCATAATGTTTCAGCTGTTGCATGTACTGGGCTTCTTTAGGTTATATATGAGATAATATTAGTGGAAAATATACATACATACATATGCAAAATATATATAAAAAAATACCCATACATGTATATTTTCAGAAAAAAATTTTCCAGGAGGAAGAATCCAGGTAGAACTCAATGTCTAGGACAGAGTAAGGATATAATAAAAAGGCTTAAACACTAATATTAGTGTTTAAGCCTTTTTATTAAATAGATATAGATATAGATAGTGTTTTTCGCTATTCCAATTGTATTTATTTTTGGTTTTCATTAATAATGACCTAACAAATGATGTAAGATCTTATTCATTGATTAGCCTTTTTGTAATCTTTTACAATTTTTACTTTTCATTTAACAAAAAAAAGAAGAAAAAAAAAGAAACTGCAGATTTTCCTTGTAGCGATATATAATTCGAATTCTGGATTGAATATATTTTCCATTCAATGTATCTAATAAAAAAAAATATCAACTTTATTTGTACTTATTCTTTAAATAGTAAAATTATGAAGTCAATTTGTAAGCAAAACCTTGTGGAAATTAGGTATATCTTCTCAGATGATCTTTAAAACTAAATGCTCGAAAATTGATAAAAGTTATAAATCTAAGTTTTGGTATCAGTACTTACCATATGAAATCCCAGCTTTTGCACTGAGTGCGATGCTAATTTAAAAAACAAAAAAACAAAAACAACCTGCCCTACTGCACAAGCCTTCACCAATATAATTAAATCATATGTGCGATGTTGTCTGGCTGTTCAGCAGAATTGCTGGATGCTCATATGTTGATGATGTTAGTCGAGTTCATCTACTTATATATATATATATATATATATATATATATATATATATACGCACACACTACTGATCATGTGATGTGTCCCTTAAGGATGTATGTGATCATGGCTCTGCACAACATCCTGTCCTTTATGGCTCTTAATAAGGTTCATCTTTTTGCTATGTCTCCTAATTCCTATTCTGCCAAGCATTTCCACAGCTCATTATTTAGTTCTTCATTGCTTTTTAGCCTCTTGCCTTCAGTATATTCTGTGAGTACCAAATTCACCAAGCTGCCTTTCCTCATTATGTACCCTAGAGATTTCAATCATTTTTCTGATTCTAAGTGTACTTTTTTGGTTTCCATTATCCCTAAAATGTCCTTGTTACTCACATATTCAGCCTATGTGATTCTCTGCATCCTTCTGTAGAACCACATTTCTATTGCCTTCAGTCTCTTCTATATTGGTGAGGAGATTGTTCAACATTCACAGATATATAGAAGAACTGATATTACACAGAAGTTTAGTACTATTTTCTTTGTTTGTAAAGAAATGTTTCTGTTTTTTTTTTTAATACTTAGCTTTTTGGAAGGCCCCTTTCACTATTCCAATACTTCTTCAGATTTCAGTGTCACCATTTTCCAACCTCTCTTAAAACACTTCAGAATATTTAAATTTTTTTAATTTCTCAATTTTGGTAGTTCTAATTTGTAGTTTGCATCTTGGGCTGTTCTTTCTGCTGTTAACAATACATTCTGTCTTTTTGCAGTTGATGCTTAGTCCTTTCTTCCTGCTTTCCTTTACTAACTTCTGTAAGAATTCCTTTCTGTGCCTGCTATCAACACTATGAGATCTTCAGGTTTCGTGATGTTAAGACTGTGGCTACCAATAATGAATCCTGGTACATATTCTATCAGGATTGCCTCACTATAAAAGTGGAATAAGTCCACTGAGAAAACATGTCTTTGTTTTATTCCATTTTGACCCAACAATTACGCACTTATATTGTCAGAGTATTAGGAGTGTCAAAAACTTAAATATTTCTTTAATAAAAGGCCCCAAGAGTTTTGCCAGAAGTTAATACATTTGATCTAGATTTGGTTGAAGCTTCATGAAAACTAAATGATATTTATAAATTTTTTCATTCTAATTTAAAAATTTCCACCCACTGCAAGGCCAAAGGTTGTCAGTCAAGATAGAGGGATACTGAATGAAGTGGGTCATATGAACGTAAAATGAAGTAGAAAGTGTATCC